TATATCAAAATGGATACATTAGAACAGTACTATATATGAACCTAATTTATATTCCGAGTCGAGTAATTCTTTCGAGACATGAAAAATGCATTTTTAATTTCATCAGTTGGCCCAGTGTAGAACAAGAGGTATAAAACTGTCCCTTCCTGTGTATCATTGATATTATATGGTGTTAGAAATATATGTACCATATTTCTAACCCTATTATATGTGCTATATGATGTCAGAATACTGCTTTTTTTATTACACTAATTTAGTTACTAGTTTCAGTCTAGCCATTCTAGATGTTAAATGCGATAGAAATTTTACAATTAGCTTTAGTGAATAATGTAGCTCATGATATAATTTCTTTAAAAGCCATAAACACCTCATTGCATAGAAATACATAAAAATGAATACATACATACTATGAACACACTATGAAATGCATAAAAATAAAAAGTAAGGACTTTGTATCAGCTATGTACTGTATGGTGTTAGAAAAATGTTTTATAAATTTTTAAAAATGAAAGTGATAAAAAAATTATATGTATCAATGAATTAAATGTATTTTTATTTAAATGAATCAGATTGAAAAATGTATATATATATGTTTGTGTGTGTGTAAAATAAAAACAAAATTAGAATGAAGGAACACTGAAATGTAGCAGTGTTGCTTGGCATAGAATGTAGATTTTGAAGGAGAAGAATTCTGACTGAAGAGGAAGAATTCTGATTGTGTAGAATCTTAAAATGTAAAATTCATAGTGACTAAAAAACTTGGCAGTCAAGGCAGATTAAATTCCATTTTTATTTAAATTGACATTTGTGGCCACAATCAGTTGGCACTCTAATTGTGCCTATTTCCAGAACATTTACATTTTTAAATATTATTGCAATAGAAAGAGCACAGTGCAATTGCATCCAAGCAGCACAGAGGGCACACTGGCACTTGGTAGATAAAAATAGTTTATTTCAGGAAGTGGCAATATATTGCTTTTAAATAGCTGAGTCTGTTGATTAAATTTTGAAACTAGTTAATTTTATCAGGTGCATGGAAAATAAAAATGCTTCATTCTGAACAGTTTACAATAGGTTGCTTTTAAATCACTGATATTGTTAACAGAAAATTCATTAAATTCATGTAAAATGGCAGATAAATAAATAAATAAAATTTTTTAGAAAGGTAACCTTTTTTTATAAGTTATTTTAATTAATTGCTCTATTTTAACCCATATTTAATTGCTTGTTGTATCATCTGCTGTAAGTTAACTTTTCAGCCCAAACATCAAAATGCAAAGCAGTAAGGAAAAGCTACCTATAGCAATAAAAACAATTGCTGCATGAAAATCTTTTCCACCCCTTTGAAATTTTTTACATTACATCTTGAAATACATTGTTTTCCAATAAATAATTTTATGTAGCGGTCATTTTTGCACTTTTGTTCAATATGTAAAATTTTATACTTCTTTTAGGCCTTACTTCTTTTTTAGTTTGGTGGTAAGTTGAATAAGGATAACAATTTAGAAAAAAAAAAAAATTAATAGTAACTATAATAATAGTAATAAAAAGGTTTGAAAAAATAAATGAGGGGATGAAAAAACTTATTGCTTCTTTTGAAGTTGATAGAAAGTTAAAAATAGTCAACAATTTAGAGGCAAAATTATTAACGAAAGACTGACATCACTTGATCTAAAAAGAGTAAGAAAGAGAATATGCGGAACGTTATTATATATATACATACATATATAAAATTACTTTATCTTTTGTAATTGATTATAAATTCAAAATGGTAAAAATTTTATAACAAAAAAGGAATGCTGAGTTGATGATTTCACATTTAAATGAAATGGTCTGAAAATCTGATTTGTTGCACGTTAAAAATCTGCAATTGATTTTACTGAGTTTGGCTGCTAATCTTCAAATTTTTGCAGCCGATCAACATGGTCACTTTAAAAAGCTAGTAACAAAACATCAGAAATAACCTGGTAAAAATAAATGCAGCTAATTATCATAATGTATCTAAAATGATTAAGAAACAGCTTTCTTCAACTGCATGTAGCATGTATAGCATGCATGTTAAACTCAGTATCTCAAGTAGGCCAAATAGTGCAGACAGAAGAAACAAAAAGCCATTTTCTTACTTAATGATGTAGTGAGTGAAAAACTGAATACATACATTGTAAGGATCTTAAGTTTTACTAACGATTATTTTAAAACTTTACTATCACTTCTTATTTTCGACTTCTGTCCAGAATTAAATGTGTTAACTTGTTTATGCAAATTGTACTTGCTAACATCCAAGTATTTAAGTTGTGGCTTTTTGCCAAGAGAAAGAAAGAGAGGGAGAAAGTGAGCCGTCTTGCCACTGCATTACACGCGAGTTTTCAATCAGCTGCTGCTTGCCTTTAAGGCCAGAGGTTTAGTCCTCTTGATATTTAAAATGTATTATAGTTTTGGCAGTTTGCGTACTACATATGCAATCTTTTAAAAGACCAGTCTTAGTGTTAGGCATTTGTAAAGTAATTCAAAGTTAGCTCTTATTTAAAATTTTAGTTAGTAGTTTTATATTTTTACGTTCAGACCACAAGTGGTTGGTCTCTGTATCCCGAAGTGCGGGAGCACATGTAATCTTATAGAGAACAAAGGGTAACGTCAACCCTTTCTGCTGGTGTTGTCTATTCCACACATATTTGAACATAGCTTGAGTAAGCTCCCTGTTTCTATTCAGGACACATTATGTTTCCAAAGCAGATAAAAAGACATACAAGTCCTGATAACATAAAAATCTTACCTAATACTGTTGTTACTTAAAAAATGTAAGGAAGTCTGGATAGTAGACAGAGATACACATTGTGTCCTTACCAATACCTAGCATCTTTTCCTTGTCAATTTTCAAATGTCGGAAGACATGCTGCATGCTCTGTCAACTTTCAGAACAGAGTTCAGGTGAATGTCAGTTAACCTGGATCTTGTTGGAATCTTGATCATGTTCCTTTCCTTAAGTGAAAAATGCTGTTCACACTGAAATGTACTGCCAAACAGAAGTTGTGTGTGATGCAAATCTGCTTCTTTCTGGAAACTCTGTAGGGAAATGTTCGTAAAATTTGAGGATACCTGCTTCACTGAATTTTTGCTTTAGAGTTGCACTGAATTTTTGTTTATTTCATCTGTAAATGGGCTGTGGCATCCCTAATTTATAACTGTTATTGAATTAGGCCACTTTGCACTTTGAAAGCAGACAGAATCCATTTTGGCATAGAATGTTAGGAGATTTCAAAATTAATTACTGATGGTTTAATCACTTTCTCCTAATTAGTGTTGTCTAAAATTCTTGGTTCACAAAAAATGTGGTCTAATATTTTTGTCAAAGAATTAGTACCATGAATGTTTTTTTAATGAAAAATTTAGCATTTTGATCTCAAACTTAATTGATTTTATATTGCTGTGTATCTAACTGACTTCAAAATAACCATTTAATTTAGTAATAAATAGCTTATTTTTAAAATTTACCTTAATTGTAAATTTAAATATATTATAAATTTAAAATATAAATAAAATTAAAAATTCATGCTGCTAGTTTATTTTAAGAACATTCTGTTTGTGAAAAAACTTTAATATATAAATTTTATTCAAGAATAAAAGTAGGCCCTGCAAAGTGGATGCTTCTAAGAATCAGATGTATTTGACAGATATATAATCATTTTATGTGTTTTGCCATAATCAAGTAACTATTTTTTTATAATGCGAGGTTGAAAGAAACAGATAGCAGTCTTTGTTGGCTGATAGCATCTTGTAGAATGAACAGTACTTTTTCATTTGAAAATAACTTCAATTATCGAATTATTGTCACAAACTACAAGTAATTTTTTTTTCATCTCTTCTTGGAGAGGATGAAGGTTTCTATATTTTACAGCTGATGTTTGATTCAAAGGCCTGAAATACCATGTTTAATTACAGTTAATGGTTTTATGCAAAACATTGGAAGATCTTGCAACTTTTCCATTATGATCACCACAGATCGTCATTTGTTCCTGACTGTGAATGAAGGTTTTGTTGAGTAAGAAAGATTTCTCTTAAACAAAGCTGTTAAAACTGCTTTAAAGGATGTTACACAACAGGTTGCCAGCAAAAGATTTCAGAGTATACATTAAGGCAATAGTTCTTAGATAGTTCTGTAGAGCATGCATTTGTACCATAACATTTGGAAGCTGTTAAAAAGTTTTTTTTTTTTTATTTTAATTTTGTTAATTAATTCTATTTGATGTAAGTTGAACAAAGTTTTATAAATTTTGTAAAATAATTATTCCTTTACTTTAAATTGTCTTAAAAATAATTTTTTACAGCTGATATTTGTGTACAGTAATACAATAAAACATTTTCCAAGTTCTACAGCCTTATATGATATTATTCTTCTGTGGAGATAATTGTCTTAGAAAACATGATTATTGGCAAATTTCAGTGCTGTTATTAAATATCTTTAAGAGGTATCTATTGCTTTAAGTACGCAGATTTCATGTGTTACCAAAATAAAAATTGTCAGTGCAATTCACTGTGTAAATGCAGCATAGCTTGAGTAATTGTATTTTTTCTTTATTAAATAGCATGAAAGTCTCCACATATGAATTTATTTTGAAATGATATTGTAGCAACTTCTCTCCTCCATCATTTTGCTTTGATATTTCAAACAGCTTATTTTAAATATGATTTTATGTTCTATCTTTCTGATTTCTGGAAGAATTATTCTTGAATTAGGAGCTCTATTGAAATTCTTTTACTTAAAACTGTTTCAAGTTTAAAATTAAAATCTGAATGTTAAGATGAGATTACACTTTCTTTTTAAGCCTATTTTTTTAAATATATTTTTTTAAAGTTTTCAGATAGCATCCCCGCCCTCAGGAATGCTGGACATTTTCATATGTAGTCATGTTAGGGGTTATTATGATAAGTTTCACTTCTTACAATTATTTATTATTGTATCTGTATTTAGACTGTATGTGAAATTGTTGAAATTCTTTTAGGGGATTCCATCAATGTTGCTGGAAAGCTTCGCATATTCATTAGAAATGCCCAATAAAAATAATGAAGGTATGTATAAATATTAAAGGTTACTGCTATTTATTCTGCTAAAAATTGATTAAATAGCTGATATCTTTAAGGGAAAAAATAGTTAATCTTAAATCTTGAAGTATTTTATATACAGGGTGGTTCAAAAACTAAACGTCAAAAATGTAAAGTCAGGTAGAGGAACCTAAATAAGCAGATTTCATATAGGAATGTGTGTGCGGTAATGCCATGTTGAGCCAGTAGAGAGTACTGATAAGTGCGGCATATAAAAGTACTGTGCTAGCTGAATTCTTCATTTTCTGCATGGATCTTGAGCAGCAGGCATTGTAACACTGATGCAGAGCTTGTCAACATTCATTTCGTGTATGGGGCTGCACAAGGAAATGGATTAGCTGCTCAAAGGATGTACAAGGAGTGATTCCCATATAGGATTCAACTGGATCGTAGAACATTTGAGTTTCTTCATTGGGAATTAAGCACAAGTGGATCGCTTTATGCATCCAGGCTTGATACTGGTATTGGAAGATATCGCAGAATTCCTGCAGTGGAAGAAAGAATACTAAACACTGTAGGGGATAATCCTTCATCAAGCTCAAGACCTGTACGATGTGCATTAGGTGTGAGCCATGCAACTGTTTTGATGACTGTTTTGTGTGAAAACAGAATGCATCTACTTCATTTGCAGAGAGTGCAAGCGATGACCTCTGACTATTATCTTCCACGTTTCAACTTTGCCTGTTAATACCTATAGCAGACTTCAGGCAATCAAACTTTTTTGCAGATGTTTTATTTACTGATGAGGCTACCTTTATGTGATTGGGTATGTTTAACATCTATAATTCTCACCTCTGGGCTCATGATAACCCACATGGCTCAGTAACACATGGCCTACCAAGAAAGGTTTTTAATTAATGTTTGTGCAGGCATTGTGCACAATAGCTTAGTCGGACTGTACATTTTACCTAGTTGTTTAACTGGCCACACACGTACATGTGGTTGGGTACATTTAACATCCATAATTCTCACCTCTGGGCTCATGATAGCCCACATGGCACAATAACACATGCCTACCAAGAAAGATTTTCCATTTATGTTTGTGCATAATATCTTAGTCGAACTGTACATTTTACCTAGTTGTTTAACTGGCTACACGTACAGCATGTTCCTCCAGCTGTTCGCAGATGAATTGGAACCTCAGCTCACTTCAGCCGGAACATCAGAAATCGCCTGGACACAGTCTATGACCAGCATTGGATAGGACGTGCCAGACCAGTTCCCTGGCCACCATGTTCTCCTGATTTAACCTGCTTGGATTTCATCTTTTAGGGTCGTATTAAAAGCCTCATGTACAAGAATCCCATCACATCTGCAGAACATCTTGTTACTCACTGGTCTGTTCCTGTGGACATGTGCTAGACATGTCTGACGTCTTTTCTAATTTATGCCGATCCATGTACCGTCACTGTGAATTTTGTATGGCTGTTGGTGGTCTCTCTTTCAGGCAGCTATTGTAAATTGTTAATATTTTTTTCTTTTGTCTTTTCTGTTTCCTGTGATTCTTACTGCTTTACATGCTGCTGCTTTAATGTGGCATTACCGCATGCACATTCTTATACGAAATCTGCTTATTCAGGTCCCCTCTACCTGCCTTTACATTTTTGACAAATAGTTTTGAACCACTCTGTGTTTAAGGAAAAAAGGAAGTTTCATTCTTAAAACAACGTTAATGTATTTCCAACTCACTTGTCTAAACAATAATTTAGTTCAAGTGTATTTATAGGATTGCTACATCATAACAGACTGACTGAGAAAACTTTAAAATAACAAATAACATGAAGTTATAAAGTATTTCTCCCACTTTCCTAGCGTGACTTCATGGTGTAGTGTTTCTGCACGCTGGGCCGGTATTTCAGAGGTCGGTGGTTCGTTTCCCGGCGAAGGTGGTTGCTAATTTTTAATCTCTCTGGCTTTTCCAATTAACCTAATGTCTCTACATGGGCACCCAAACTAAAAGGGAATTGGATGAGGATTCTTTACACCCAAGATTTGGCGATTGGGTACCCTAAAAACCCCCAGTCGCCCTTTAAAAAGGGGAGTATATAAAGTATTTCTCCCACTTTCCTAGCGTGCCTTCATGGTGTAATGATGGTTCTGCACGCTGGACCGGTATTGCAGAGGTCCATAGTTAGTTTTCCTGTGAAAGCGGTTGTAAATTTTTCATCTCTCTGGCTTTTCCAATTAACCTAATGTCTCTACAAAGTTATTTTTTATTTTATTTGAGAATCATATTTAGAATTATTTTTCTTCATATTTTTTATATTTTCATCATATTTTTATTTAAGTTACAATATTATCTTCAGGATTTTTTTAGCATCATAGAACATAACAGCTAAAAATTATCCATAGCAAAAAGGTTATGCATTTGTTACTGCATATTTATATAGGCTTATGAAAATACAGTATTGAGAGGCTTATCTATCCCTGAGATGTTCTTTCTTGGTCTCTGAAAATGTACACTTAAAATAATTTCATTTATATTTTCTTAGCTTTTATCAATTTTTTTCTTGAAATTCTATTTGAATGAAGTTAAAACATGAATTTTAGGTTATAACTTGAAAATTTATTCTTAATATTATAAAGAGGGAACGTGTTCTGCTGAAATTTATATGTAATAGTATTAGACTGTGTTGCTTAGGAATTAGTAGAAGTATGCATAGAAAGAGAAGTTAAAAGAGCAAAGATAGCTACAGAGGAGTATTTATTTTATTTTAGAGAACATGAATATATTGTTTCACTAATGGGTGAAGAAAGTGACTTAAGAGTTTAATAACATAACATTAACTAATCATCTTACTGCATTGAAAACAAGCAGGGTAGCTTTAAAAGTTATGTTATATTGTTATAAAGCTTCATTTTAAACAGAGTAGTTACTTTATGTGGGTTCTCTAAAACCTGCTGAAGAATTAATTTCTTTAAAGTGAATAGAGCCTTTTTTTTTAATTACTCCTATTTTCCTGTTATCCATTCATATCCATGTATTAGAATTACTAATCAAAATTTAACACTGAATAAATCTAAGAATCTTATAATTTGTTTACAATAAAATTTTGGAAGAATTTTAAAGAAATCTTGATGAAAATTATCTTTGAGTGGTTAAAACATTCTAATCACTGAGCACTAATATTTTCACTCTGAAGTTTATTTCTGATATTATAACTGGCAAGTTACTTGGATGTTTTCATACTTTTCTTACCTATTATATAAATATTAAACAATTATAAAGTTCTTGACAAAAGTTTCCTGCCCAAAGCAAACATCTTCACAGGTTTTCTGATCTTGAAAATGGTCAATAATAGGGATATTTCATCAAAAAAGATATGTGAAGACTAAAGAGAATATGAAGGATGACTCTTTTACAAACAGATTTTGTTCAGAGATTTACCAGAAAACACTCTGAAAGAGGCAAGTATAAATTCAGGAAAGCTATTCCGAATATATGAGACTTTCTGTTTAAATTGATATTGTACTGACTTGTGTGTACTGTATGCTGCAGAGCTCTAAACTTGTGAAATTTGGGAAAGGATAATATATGATGTGCAGATTTGCATCTAAGTGCCAGCAGTTAGTTAGAAGTAGTAGCAAATTAGGTATATTATTAAGATTGACTGTGCCTTATATTTTTAATGGTGATTTTAGTATCTGTAGAGTTAAAATAATTAAGAAATAATGGGAACCAGATTTTTAAGTATAATACTCCAATAATATATAAATGTTTATACATAATGGAGAAATCTCTTCTCATTACTCTTTAATGTAAATTATAAGTTATTTCTTCATTTCAAATATTTTTTACTGATAACTTAGCTAAAGAATAGTTGACTCAAATGCTAAATAGCTGAGAACTTAAGAGCTATCTGAAATTGAATGGGAAAATACTCAGATAATTCATAACACTAGATATCCTTAAATATGCTCTTTTCTAAAGTTTTTACCTTATGTATGAATTTTTGAAACTTTTAGTTCTTTGATACCCTCAGTATTAGAAATGACGATTTTGTATATTATTATAAATTGAACATATTACTTATTACTTATTGTGCAAAGGCCTATATATCCCAGTGATATTCAACTCATTAAGAAAATATTATAAGTTGATAATTTACTGTTCTAGTAGGTAATCAGAACTATTTGGGTAGTACAATACTTGTTATTTTGAAAAGAATAGTCAACAATAATGTTAAAGAGTACATTACTAATGTACAGATTAGTAAATTATCTCTAGAACTTTTTTAGAAATCATTAATCATTTTTAATTATTTCCTTTGTAGAATTCCAAAATGCTATTATGGATTTATTTGTTATTTTGGCACAAAGCTCAGTTCAACCAAGTGATTTGAAAAAGGTGATTGATTTCTTCAAGTCGCCTAATACTTCTTTGGTATGTGTCATATACATTTTTTGAATTTTCTTGTTACTTAAATTTTAGCTTCTGTATAGAATTTATTTTCTGATTAGTGTGGATTAGCATCTTTTACAGTTCGAGCTTTTTAAACCAACAGAAGAAAAGCTTTATATTACAGAATTACTTTGCTACTCTTAGATTTAAAATAACTAATGATTCACATGCTATTCCATATGAAAACCATTTCCACATTTACAAAATTTATAAATGTTTTGTATTAATTAAAAAATTGAAAAGGATATAAAATAATTAATTTTTCTTATTAATGTCTTTTGCATTAAATTCATATTAAAATGCACTTTTTTATGTGCATATGATATCACTTCGATTTTTGAGAATTATGTAATTTGACAAAATTAGTATTAAATTTTTGCTACTGAAGTAATAACCAATGTAAATAATATATTAATTTTTGATTAAATGCTGCAGATTTATAACCTGTAAAAGTTTGTGGTATTGTTCTTATATTCAGGGTTCGTACGGTCCTTAAAAGTCCTTAATTTTTTCAAAAATGATTTTTGGTCCTTAAAAGTCCTTAATTTTGGCCAAAATGAATAAACGGTCCTTAATTTTGCTCATTTGACATTTCTTATCATTTCTAATGATTGCCATTCTAAGTGTGAATTGCGATTTCTCATGAATATGGAATTAAAATTACACGGCTCTTAACCAATCTGTTGGCGGATTTGCGTTGCAAACGAAAAAAAAAAAAAAAAAAAAAACAATTAGCTACCCGAACGAAAGTATCGGTGTCTGATTGGCTATTCACCCAATCTTTCGAAACAGGTGTTATCCATAAATTTAGGCAGATTGTGACGAAAGCGTGAAGCCGGAAGTTCTTTAAGAGGCGAAAGTGATGATGAAGGTGCTCGAGAAAAAAAAAGGGGGGGGGATTCTGAAAATATTTGCCAAAATTAGAGCAATCCCAACCTGGAAGGCCACAACCCTTCCGACGCCAATAGGAACGAGATGCCTGGAAAGTGCATTTTCAATAAACTGTGGCTTCATCAAGCTGACTACAAAGACTGGATATTGATGGATGACAATCCTTATAAAGCTAAATGTGGTCTTTGTCTGAAACAAATTGAAATTTCTAGAATGGGAGAGTCAGCGCTGAAAATTCACATGAAAATTAAGTTTCGTTTTATCATTTCAATTTGTTTTTACACGGTTTTTGCTTAGCTTAATTTCTCTGTGTTTGTTTCAATTAAGCCATAAATTAATTTTTTATCACCTTCTATGGAGTTTATTCTCTTTTGCACATACTATATGTATGGGATATCGGGATTATGAGTTTATTTCTACAGAGGTCTGTTATCGATTTCGCGGGAAATCTGTTGGCTCCATTTCAATTTTAGGTCACCAAGGGCAAATTTGGTAACGCTAGCCGAGAAAAAGTGAAGTTCGGAAATACGTTTTGAAGCTTCAATAGACAATTAAGTATTTGGTTTAATCCTATGTTGTTAATAGTAATGCATTATTTTTGCTAATGGCGATACAATTATTAGTTGAAAACAACTAACTAATTAAAAATTTTTTAATATTTTTAAAGCTGAAAACAACTAATTGAAACTAATTTTCCTGAATTAACTAGACGCAAAATTAACTTTCATGAATTACTAAAGTTATTGGGTAGAAGTTTAACTGAAAATATACATTCCGTATATATATATATATATATATATATTTATACAGTACAAAGTCCGAGGTCGGGACTTCGGCGATCCCAGATTTGAGATTTTTCCGGATATTAGATCATTTTAAATCTACTAAGATGGCACGTAGAAATTATAAAATTGAAAATATGAAATCGTGATTTATGAAATAATGAAGCATTTATGATTTAAAGGGTATCAAAATTTACAAAAGAAAAGAGCTTAATATTTATATGTTTACTTTATTAAACATTTCTTTCAATGTGAGTTGTTTGATTTGTTTTCTCTGCTAATACTTTAGACTAATACTATAGACATATAATTTCTTGTTGAGTTATTAAGTTCCATTGTTCAAGTCCTGTAATTGCTGTGTCGAGAATTCCGAATAACTTGTCAATCAAAATTTTTCTCGTTCAGTAACCTCTCTGTTACTTTCTTCACTATCGGTAGCTGTATTTTCTGGATTTAGAACCATACTACAGATTTCGCCCTCCGTTAATTGATTGATGATTGGGGCATTGTCATCGCAATGAAAAACTTCTGTTTAACTTCCCTAAATTCTGCCGCCTGGTGCGGCCATGCGAGCTCTGGCGCTGGTTCTGGCTTTATGTGAATAACAAATCAGTTATTCTTAATTCAAATAGCACTAAATATAATCGTTTGTCCTATGAGTATCATTAACAAAATCTATTTTCAGCATAAGGAAAGAAATTTCTGTTAAATCTCCCCTTGTCAACATTTTAGCGCATTAAACTTAAATCTGTAATCGGATAATACTCTGTTATTTGGCGTCGCTGCATGAGTCATCACTCAAGTTGTCATCCGTTGATAAACATGCGGTGATGAAAGCAAAATACAATAAATAATGATTCGCGATTTCGGCATCAAGGATATAAAATATTAGTTGGTGTAAAATTAACAAATGTTTCGGTTTGAGATTATGCCAAGCAGATACGCAGCTATGGAGTCAAGTTACTAATCACACAAATTTATGCTAAAATAATTATTTCTTCAATAATGAGATATTTTATTTAGCGCCAAACTGAGATTAAGAATCGGGATTTCCGACATGTTTTTTTATGATGAGGAAAAAAATCTAATGCGCATGCGTAAAGCATACCCCTTCCCTCCAAAAAAGCCCTAAAAAATTGGTTGGTGGTGGCTTTGAGGTCCGGATTTTAGATCATTCCAGATATTGGATGTCCCGGATCTCGGAATTTGTACTATATATATATGTATATGTATGTATATATATATAGTAAAAATGTATTTTTCAGTATACATTTCTTATTTTATATATATATATTAAATAAAATTTATTTTAAAAACTTAAAAAGTAAAAAAGAATTAATTAAAAAACAAAAACCAAAAAATTTAAAAATTAAAAAATATAAACAGTAAAGATTTAATTGACTATACAATATCATTTAAATTCAGAAGCATAAGCAATCAAGTGCAAAATCATCATGAAATAAATCTACTAATTTAATAAATTAAAATTAAATTAAACAATTTTTTATATAAAATGTATATGTGAGTGATCGTAGAGTAGGCAGGAGACAGACTTATCAAGGGAAAGTTGCCTCCAAACCTAACTCTCCAATCATTCAATTCGTGTTTCGTCATTCATGCAGGCAAGGGTAAAAGTCAGAACCAAAAGTAATTCCAATAAAGTGGTATCCTTAGAAATTTACATTGAAGTATTAACATTTAAGAATTAAAGGGAAACACTTCCGCAGAGAACCCGGTAAATGTAAACATCGCCAACTTTGGCGATAATAGTTCAAACCTTTTAACCTAGCTAATTCATCCTATTCGCTTATGCGAAGGTTGTCGTTGTTTCGCATTTGGAGATTTATATTATTTTTCTCTATTTATTATTATTTTTTCTGATTTTTAACAACGATAGATAGAAATATTTTCGCATAATTAAAGAAGTTTTCATCGAAAGAGCCTGTTCCAGGTCGTCAGTTCGGGATCAAAGGAAGAAATTATGGCGGGAGGGGTGAATGCTAATTTGTAACATGGCTGTTCACGTATGTTCTTAATTATTAACAGCTGCAAGCACGCAGAACCATGAGGTTTCCAACCCCTATAATAATTTTTAAATGCATAAAGTTCTAGTTTTATTAACAATGCTACTGAAGAAAATTTGATTCATAATATATATATCATCATTTCATAATATATTTCACAATAGTGAAATATATTATGAAAAAGGATAGATATTTGTTTCAAAGTAAAATGCTTTAAGCTATATGCAAGTAACTTAAAAAAAATTACTTGAAAACTATGTAAAATGGATGTATTAAAGATCATGCATTCATTAATTTATTACATGGGCATGGCTCTTACTGAAATATATCAATCAACAGGCAAAGTACTTAATAAGTGAAAAAAGACACTTCTAATAGAAATATTAGTATTCTAGGTATATGAATTAGAGAAAATACATATAGTAAATTGTAAACGTAAGTATAAGAATACTAATTGTTATTTTTTAAATGAATTTTTACTTCCCGTTATGTTTAATACATTGTTTTCTGTGCTAACTTGAATTTAACAGAAATTTATTTTCGTATATCACGTTTAACCTGTTAGTTTCATATCTATGTACTTATTATCTGTGAATTTTTACTACCATTGTCTGCTAACTTGAATTTACATCACTAAAAACCACGTTTACAAAATATCACGCTTACGGCTCGGCTCATTGGCGAGTAAAACTGCAATTGCGCCAAAGGGTTCTTTCCCGAAGCGCCAACGGGTTCTCTGCGGATGAAAACCCAATTAAAGTTCAAAAAGGAAAATACTAATTAAGTCTTTTGAGAAACAAGCAAGTAAAGTCAAGAATTAAACTTTTTCTTAAAAAATTAAATTTTTTAAAAATTAATTTTTTATAAAATAATAAAAAATCTAGAAACCAATGTATTAAGAATCCTTGTCTACAGAAACTTCCCCTACACGAATATGCATATCAATAAAAAGAAACTATAAAAGAACTATACATAATCCATATAAATCAATAAGAAATAAGAACAAAAAGACTAATTCACAATTTTTAAAATAAAATATATTTAAAAATATAATTTATCTTTAGAAATATAGATACTACATAAAAAATTAAAAAATACTTAAAGCAAGTAAATAGTAAGTTTTAACTTACCTACTATATGAGTGTTGGGGTCTGCAAAAGTGTTGTGAAGAGAAGTGTGTTCTTCAAATTATATAGATGGCGCTTATGTAGGTAAAGTTGAGTGTCAAGCTGCTATCTTTGTTATAGTAAAAATTTTTTGTAATATTAATATTAATTAAATTAAA